TGGTGTCTCAAATTATTGTTTTGTGTCACTTTTGTAAAAATTTACCATTAGGGGAGGGAGACATACATACAACCAAAAACCCTATTCAAAGTCAATCGTAATTGCTATTTTAGAAACTGTTCAAAAGAACCAAGTAGAAAGCCCAAAGTTTGTTTAGCCAGAAAAAATACATTAGCCCAAACTACTCTTTTTCTAAACTTGATATTTGAATTGTTCAAAACAAATTTAGTGATTATGCACTTTTCGAGAAGAAGACTATGCAAAGAAGTTTGAGTATGCTTCGAAGCAACATATCAAATAAAGGGCAATATATATCTCCATAATTGTTGCGCCCAAGGTCGAATGCTATAGAGTAGCCATCATGTATTATAGTCTTTGTTTATATTTTATCTATGCCTCTTCTACACTCATTCTTATTGATTTTCGTTTTCTTCAATTCGTCATTTTTAACAACTATTTGTCACATGCAACTTTTTAATTCTTTTTAAGGTCTTAAAACTTTGTTATAGAACTTTTGTCTTATTTGCTAAAAAAATAAGGACAACGAACAGCTTTAAGCCTTTTTTATGAACAATTTCAAGATCATATACAAAGATGAAGTAGATGCATAATTTTTTGTGGAAAGCTTTAGTTTACTATTTGTTAAATTGCTAAACATAAATGATCTGCATAGTAATCTTGTCATATGTAGACATATGATCTAATAGAAGCACATAAAGAAGATCTCCTCTTGTTATTGGACAATTTCCTCACCCGATATAGATTGCTTTTGTTTTTACATTTAACTTACAATAAAAAACATTTGCTTTGTTTTGGATTTTTATCTTTGCTCCTACATATATGTTTTAATTTTTTTTCGTGTTGTTCAATCTTTAAAAAATGGCATAACTCATAATGTGTTAATTTAGCATTTTCACCTATCATTGATTTTACTCCATAGGGTGCGTTTAGCAATGACTGCATAGTGATAAAGAATTGTACTGGTGGTAGATTGCTGTTATTAATATGAACCTGAGACCATTTCTGTATTTGTTGGAGAGGTAACAAGTCGTTGTAATTCACCGTTTAATGTCAAATTTTCAAAGAGAAATTGACAGATAATATCTTTTATTCAGTACGTTAACTCATACACAGCGAATTAACATAAGAGAAACGATATTATCATAGCCCTTTTTCGTACGGAACTCCACTTGCTTTCAGCCACGATTCTCCATCTAATAGCTTGGTAACAGTGAATTTTGCATCCTCTTTAGAAACCGTAATAACTCTAAACCCTGTCCACTTTACCCTTTTGCTAGTCACAGCTCCTGGACTCCTATTTTGATATTCGCTGCAGTAACGCTTTGCTAAAGTCGAACCTAGCCCTCAAGTCTCGAAGCAAATCGTCCGTGGACAGGGTAGAACCAGGAGGATCCGGTCTTTTCACCTTTTTGGCTCGTTTCTTCTTCTTCTGAGCCATTGCGCCTTGCATCGCTAGCTGAAGCAGCCTCGCTGCCTCCTCGGAATCAAAGAAGACCTCCTCGTCTTTCACCTCGGGGAGATTAGGCAGCTTGGGCGCTTCCTGCCAATGAGAACCCCCAGCTTCACCCACTACTGGGGGATGCCTACCTTTCTTGTCAACGCCACCTCGGGTTCTTCAGGCAAATCTAGATCCCGAGCTATATCAGCAACTGCATCCTCCTGAGCCATGAAACGGCTCGGGTCTTCTTGTTCATGGGAAGCTGCCTCTGCATCACTATCCCGACGCGATACGACTCTCTGATCCGAAGTACTCACCTCGGGATCACTTGAAGAACTCTATACCATCCTCCTCTTGTGGATCGGAGGAAGGTTATCACCTCGGGATGAATCACTTAAAGTTGGAAAGCATTTTGCCTCGGGAGTATCGGTTGAAGTTACGAGTTAATCGGAAAAACAAGTTTCTAGATCGGGAAACTCAACCTAAAGATCTAATCACGGCGAGGATACGACGGAATATAGGCTGGAAAAAGAAAAAAACAAAAGAAATCAAGATCAGAGAAAAGAGAGAGCGAACCTTAAGAGTTTTCTTCGAAGTTGCGAAATGGTAAAGTGAGTCGAGAGTTGTGCATTTATAGAGTCTCCAAGCTTGTCGGGTGCGCATGAGCTCGGAGAAGTGCGTCGCATCCGCACAAATCTCGGGAATCATTAAAGGACGTTTCCGCTTCTCGAGAAGAAAACTCAACCGTCACATGCAACGGAAGATGAAGCGTCAAAAGATCCAAAACACTGAAGAATATGAACTGTCAATGATGAAAAGCTTGGGAAGATAAATTGCCTCGGCATTCAAAAGTAGCTCGGGACAAAAGGTTAAACGGCTCGGTCATTTCGTCCATGAAGCTCGTCATACTTGCTGCCCAAGACAAAGAGCTGGGGGGCTAACTATTGGGGCGGATTTAATCCACCTCTTACAGCCGAGCCAAACATCACCTCGGGGATACCTAGCTTCATCTCCTCTCGCAACCGAGCCGATCATCACCTCGAGGGTACTTAGCTTCGCCTCCCCGCCTCAGGTGCAGTTTATAGGAGGATGCCTCGGGCACTGTCCACATCGCCTCGGGGATGATTCGTATCGCTACTCAACTGGCCCCGAAGCAATATCCCGTGTTGATGCCCGAGCCGTCGCTACTAGTTAGCTTGAGGCAACATCTCGTGTTGACGCCCAAGCCGTTATTACTAGTTACCTCGAGGCCATCTTTAAGGCGGATACTGACAATGAAGCCCGAGGAGAAGCTTCAAAATAACCCGAGTCAGTCTTATTGTATCGTCCGAGGAAAACACTTGGAAAATATTCGTCTCAAAAGATCAATTCTGAATAGCACAATATCATTTCCGAAAATGAAGGATCATTTCCGAGATACTCGGAAATGATAAAGAAGAATCTCGAAGGATCAAGACAAATCAGGAAATCTTCCAAAAGTCTTCGAAGAATAAGGAAAATATCCTTATCCACGATATTCTAAACCGACTCTGAGGAAAATAGAAATCTTCCGGGAATATCGCTGGAGAGGCAGTTTATCATCTCTATATAAGACAACTCAAGGACTTCAAAAAGGGAACATAAGTAAAAATGCTCTAGACTTCAGACTATAAAGAGCTCTGATATTCAAAAGCAATCACCGCAAAAAAGCAAACACTTTTCTTTTCTTATTCAACTCTTTTGTACGATCAAAACACTTTTTTCATCGATAATATCAAGAACATCATCTTTGGTCATCAAGTTTTTCTATTCTTCTTTGAGAATTCCCGCATATCGTATCCCTAAAAGAAACCCTAAGAAAAAATTCGATTGTGTAAGTTTCGACTTCCACAGGGTTGATGGTGGTTAAGCAGGCGACGAAGGCTGAAGGACCGAGCACGGAGGCGACTGTGAATGAGCTATGTGAGTAGGCACGGACAGCACTTGAGATAGACTTGGAGAGAAACAGATTGGTTCCTCTTGAAGTGATTTGGTTCACGGAGCTTGTAAGCTGAAAAGAAAACTCGTTTCCACAAATTGAACATGTCAGGAAGTGTAAAGCCGTCTGCTTCGAATATCTAAGCATAAATAAGCACTTTGCATTAACGAGTACCCAAAAAAAAACACATGGTGTGGCTGATCGATATGGTCGCAACCATTGATAGCATACGCATCCAAACACGCGGAGCTTCATATAAATTTGTGGTTGATTGAACAACTTGGCATAAGGAGACATGCCACGTAATACCTTGGTCGTTTTTCTATTGATCAAATACACCGCAATAGCAAATGCATAAGGCCAATACGCCTTGGGAACCGATGCATGTGTGAGAAGGGTGAGACCCGTTTCCACAATATGACGATGTTTTCTCTCGAAGATGCTATTATGTTCTGGCGTATTTGGTGGCGTGGTAAGATGAGAGATGCCACGTATCGTCAAGTACGACTGCAATGTAATAAATTCGCCCCCATTATCCAAATATTAGGTGCGAATCCGACTCTGGAACTGGGTCTCCACAAACTCTTTAAATGCAACGAACACCTCTTTTACTTGTTTTTTTTTTTGTTTCAATGGACATAGTCATGTATATCTAGTAAAGTGATCAATAATAACCAGGTAATACATGAAATGATCAACAGAATAGTGTGAAGCCAAATAGAAATGTAAGTCAAACAATGACAAATAAGGAACATACACGAGTTACTGTGTACGTGAGGGATGCTACATCACATTCTCTCTCTCCATTATCCTAATTAAAACTAGTAATGTTTTATTTTCATAATATATTTTTAAACAAACTAAAAACGTTATATAGAGTGCATACATTGTATTTTAAATTTTATGTACTTTATTCGCATGTGATCATATACGTACTCTTGCAAATTTGGTAAATTAAAATAAAATTTGTTTAGTTTGACAAATATATGTAATTTGTTTTTGATATTTTTGTGTATGTACACATATGCACACCATTTATTACTTTGTACGTACACATGAGTACATGATATCGTTAATTTCAAATTGTCTTTAACAACAAAATTAAAATTAATATTAAATAAATTATTATTTAAAGTCAAAAATTAAAATATGAAAAATGGTCTTAAACGACAGAATAAAATAAATTTTAATTAAAAGTACAAAAATAAAACACATATTTATAAAAGAGGGTGGAAAATAATAATAATAATATTTTTTTTTTATTATTTCTATTATTTCATTTTTTAACGAGACATTGTACCTAAATGAAACGCCTAACTGATTTGTACATAAACATTTTACATCGGTTACGTGGACAGGGGCATTTTTGTCAAAAAATACCTTAATAGCTAAAACATTTAAAGTGAGAATGACTTTGCCAAATAATGAAAATAAAACATGGTCTTAGGACCTTACTCGTAAATTACATATATTATTATGTCTAGCTAATGGATTAGATTCAAACATGAATGAATAGCGATAGGGCCAAGTTAAACATAAAAAAACTTTTTATATCTTTATTAATTTTTATATATTTAAAAGGGATAATGACAACGACCATAATAATATTATTATTATTATAGATTACGAGAATTACATAATCTTAATTTTTTTTTCTTATGCAATGTTCGAGAATCACAAATATAATGTTAGACAGATCTGCAATAACATTACTTTTCGTTATAAATAATTTTGGTATTGGTTTCATTGTTGACAAATCATCGGTACACGTAGACATATTTGTCATTGTTGCACTGACCATAGAGTTTACGCTGGCATAGTCTTTGGCAGCCAAATATTTGAGGGCTTTATCACGATTGGCTAGAGCATCTTCATATACTTCTATGCATACAGAATATTTAGACTCAATATCCCGCGTGTAGCCTCCTGATAATTTAAATTGCTTCAGCGTATCCGAAATATTTCGAGCCTGATAATTGAGCAAAAATTTGAAGAGACCAGAAAAATCTAATCTAGTAATTTCAGGGTTTGGTTTTAGAATCTCAAAACATAATGAAGAATTGATATCTTGTTGGGTGCATATGAAGTGGATCTCATCTTTTGTAACCATCGTACTAAACCTTGCATACGATGAGACAACAAAAAAGAGTAAAACCACTAAACAAGCCGATGAAAAGTTTTTAGCGACGTATGCAACCATTTTTCTTGTTCTATGTGTTTTGGAATTTATGTGAGATTTATATAGGCTGAAAAATATCTTCAAAATTAAATGCTAACAGATTATGTACCATAGTAAAATGATTTAATTTATTAGCAATATGTCAAACTGTTGAATGTTTTTTTTTTGGATAGTTTGACCATTTCTTTTAAGTAAGAAAGTAATTTGATTTTGATTTGATTTGATTTAACAACAATATGACAACACATTAGATAATCACGTTTTAAATTTAGATGATAAATAAATTAAGGGAAAATTGGAAATAAAGGATATCTACTTAAAAATTTGTCCATATATCCCCTTTTTTTGTAGATTGGTCAAATAGGTTTTTAAAAATAAAAAACCCAATTTTACCCTCATTTTCTCACAAATTTCATTTTAAAAATAAAACTTCCTAATTGGTTTTACAAAATTAAAATAGAAATAATAAAATCACAAAAACTCCAAATGAAAGAGAGTCTTTCACGAAGACCTAATAAAAGACTTGTTTGACGAAAAGAAGAAAAAAAAAAACATCTGTCGGGAAATTCCTCTGTCTTCTCTCAATCGTCGCCGCCGGCGATTCCTCTGTCTTCTCTCAATCGTCGTCGCCGGCGATTCCTCTGCCGTCTCTGTGTCTGGCGCCGTCTTGCTTCCTCTTGATTTCAGCTTGAAGCTTCCTATTGGTTCGTCTCTCTCCTCTGTTGTCTTCTATTGGTTCGTCTCTCTCCTTTCTTGTTCTCTCGATTTAGTGTAATTTGCAAGAGTTTATTTCAGTTTGCATGTAGATTTGTTAAATTCTTTGAATTCGTGTAGTTCAGATTTGAAGTTTCAATTTTGTGAGTTTTAAAATTCCAAATTTCAATTGCTTGTAGATTCCTTTGTTTGTTTTGTTCCTAGATTCCTTTAATGCGTTTCAAGTGTCACAACATCAATTATTGATTAAGTCTTCTATCTCTTTGATTCATGTTAATGTATATGTGTTTGTGAATCTCTTTTAAGACGCAACTGTAAATTTTGCGATTTAACATTAGCTTATCAGTTAGCAATAGCTAGCTATGGTTTTTTCTTAAAAAATTTCGGGTAGAGGAATCATTGGCTAATATCTATCTAAGGTTAGAAATAAGATTGATGCCAGGAAAAGAAACGCAGATTACTCTAATGGTCTAGAAAAAATTGCTCTTTCCATTCTCTTTCATTGTCATAAGAACCTATGTATACGCTGATCATGATAGCTGTGTTATAATTTCTGATCAACTAAACAGAGCCAAAGGTATACAAGCTAAATTGAAATAAAAGCGTGGATAGCAATAGCGGATATTTGTTATGCATTGTGGTTTTCGATGGGCTGAAAGAATTTGCTTAGGCATGTTTTGCTTTGCTAGCATGTAAAAACGATAATTTAGTTTGACTGAATTACTATGATCTATATATCCATATCACCATTGCTTAAGAAGGGAAACTGCTAGACTGGAATCACATTGTTATTTTTTCCGACGTTGCTTGAGTTTGAAAAAGGCTTAGCTTGAATCATTCTTTGATCTTAAAATAATCTCCTCAAACGTAGGAGTGTATTAGTTGCTCTATATATTTGGTTATGTTCTTTGAATTTGTGTCACTCGTTTAGAGATTTCAGTTTTTGTGTTGTAAAACTCCAAATTTTAATTGCTAATTGATTTATTAAGTCCTCTAGCTCTTTGAATCATCTTTGTGTATAATCTTGTAGATGTCTCCATTTAGTGAGATATACATGCCTCAAACTGTGATAATGGAATATGTAAAAATTTAGATTGAGGAAAGATTCACGTTGTTTAGGGTCTTATTTTTATATCAAGTGTTTTGTCTCTTAATAACTTTAAATATTTGATAAAGTTAGTTTGTTCTCTATTTTCAGGTTTTGGATCTACATTACATCAAAGGTTATCAATGGAAAACAATCTAGGAAGCACGAGTAAGACATCAAGTACTTTAACATACTAATTTTTGTTTGCTAACTGCAACTATGCACTATAATTAGTCATCACTGTGAATGGTTTTATTTACATATGTTTGTTTTTTATGTGCAGCCACTACTAAGGAGTTTCCCAAGCTCCTTTTCGGACATGGTAAAGAGCCTGAAGTTGAGAAAATTAACAACAGCTGCAGATTATCGATACTTAGGAAAATCAAGGATGCTTTGCCAATAGAGTATGAGAAAGTGAAGTCTGATCCTCTGTTTGCACAAGTCTTCGCCATATACGAAAATGGTTTACATTATTCGGGTCGTCTGGTGCACAGCCTAATGTGTAGACAATTGGTAACAAGAAAACAACATGAGCTCTGGTTTGTGTTTGGAAACAAGCCTCTCCGATTTTCTTTGCAAGAGTTCTACGCAGTGACTGGGCTGAAATACAATGATGATTTCAAGTATGATTTAGATACTTGGAAAGATGATAAGGGGTTTTGGAGCAAGTTGCTGAAAAGAGAGGAGAAGATATGCATTAAGACGATGATGTCTACGCATCTAGGAGCAGTTCACAAGTGGTGTAAAGTAGATAGGATTAGATTTGTCTATTTGTGTGTGATTGCTGGTTTGGTAATTGCGAAAGATGAGAAGAAAGCTATTCCAGTACATTACATCAAATTGGTGATGGATCTTGAGAAGTTAAGGGCGTATCCTTGGGGTTTACATTCGTTTGACTATCTTGTCGAGTCGATCACAAACGCAAAAAAGGACTTGAAGAAGACTAAAAGCTACGCCCTTGATGGTTTCTCAATTGCACTACAGATATGGGCTATGGAAGCAGTTCCTAAAATAGGAGGAATATTAGGAGTGAAGCTTAACAAGAACTTGGGAGCTTCTCTTAGATGTTCTAACTGGAAAGGGGCAGCAAAAGTTTCTTATCAAGAAATTATCGAATTAGAGACAGGAATGACAGCAGAGGTTAGTAGCTTAATTTTCATACATATATACTCAACAATTCATATGGGTTTGCTGCATTTCTGATAAGTAAAAATTATTCTGCAGGATATTGTATATCCATACATTTCCATCACAGGAAATTATGATGTATATGAGTCAGTGGATTTCCTGAGGCAAGGTGAGAACAGTGATGTTGCTTTGAAGAACTTAAACGCTTTGATAAGAACTGGTTATGATTTTTCTGACTTTGAGTGGGATGCTGTTGAGAGTCCTGATGTCGAGGAAGAAACGATAGATGAGGATTTAGTAGAAGATGGCTATGTGGAAGGTCAAGGTGAGATACATACAAATGACAAGGAAGAGGCGAATGTCACTGTTGAAGGTAGCCTACTCTCTGGTTTGCAGAGTAATGAGCATGAAATGGCGACAAGTTCAAAGAAGAGAAGGAGTAAGGACGGTGACCACGGTGCACAGACAAGGAAGATGAAACTGTTATGTCAAAGAGCTCCAGCCGCACCACATGGTTTTGATGAAGAGATGAAAACATTCATCAGAGAAATGTTTGAAACTTCTTTCAAGCATTTTGGGCAAGAAGTAAGCAACAAATTAGGAAAGATAGAGCTAGATGTAGCAACACTCAAGAAAGCAGTGATCACTATGGATGAGAATTCGAAAAAAGACAAGGCACCACCATTCGGTAATGGTCAACCAGTGGTACGTTAAAAATAAAAACCAAAGCTTCTGTTGTTGTATTTTAGCATTGTATGACATTGTAATTCTGTTATATGTTTTGTGTTTGTAGCTTTCGTAAGAAGTAAAAACTTATGTAAAACCTTGTAATTAGGCTATTTAGTAACTTATGCATTATAATATTTAAAGGCATGTATTGTAATTTCAGACTTAGTTATTTTGTTTGTTTTTGTTTTGATATTTACATTGACTGTCTTTGCAGGACGATAATTGTCTGTTTCATGAATTATTCACCCGTCCGGGTGAAATAGACCTTAATATGGATTCGCAAGATCCAGATTTTCTGCAAAAAGAAATGGGGCATCTTTCTCAAAAATCACAAGCACCGGGTTTTGATCCATCACAGGGTATATTTTCACAAAACCTCGAGAAACAACAGCGCAAAGACGACACTGCAGAGTTTATGGATTGGAATGATAAGGGTGATTCGGGTAAATATGACGCTGACGCGGTGTTGGTATACTTACCTGAAGCTAGATGGACTGCTTTTGAAGCATGGTTTAGGAACGTAAAGTAAGTCCTATGATTCTAATTTTATATCTTTTAAATATACCTGATTGTATAATTGTTTATTCTTTTTGTTTTACCTTCATTACAGTCGTGATGTTCCAAAACTCGGTCCATCTCATCTAACTGATGCACTATTTAAGCGTCTGATTGATCAAAAAGAATGGCTAGGCAACGATGTAAGTTTTACTATTTTTTTTTTTCATGACTGATTACGTATTCATTTCGATAAATACTAACTTGTTTTTAAAAATAATTGCAACGCAGGAAATAGATGCAGTACTGTACTTACATCGGGAATCCACATCTTTACGCCGACTGAATTCAGCTCGTGTTGGGTTTATGAGTTGCGAGTTTAGCGCGCGAATCAAAAACGAATACCCAAAGTTCATGAAAAATAAAAAGACCCACAAATGGGATAGTCGGCTTATTGATTTCGTCACCGGTGAGTCCCCATCTCATGGAAAGACGGGTAAAAGTTGGGCTTTGGATTTCGACAGAATTTATGCTCCGGTAAACGTCAATAATAGTCACTGGATTTCTATTTGCGTCAACTTTGTTTTAAGAACTGTTGAAGTCTTCGATTGTTTCGGCAACAACAACAGAAGAAACGTGGAAATGTTTGCATACATCATCCCAAGGATTGTGAAAGACGTGCACGGGAAGGTATATGGAAAAGTCCCTCTATTGACACAATATGAGATAATAAACGTCAAGGTGCCTAAAAATCTGAACACTACTATGTGTGATTGCGGAGTGTATGCATTGAAACACATTGAGTGTCATATGCTTAATCTAAGCATGGATTTGATAAACGATGGGAACATCAAAGAGGCGCGCATGAAGATTGCTGTAGACCTTTGGGAGGCTGCTCATGATCCTATCTTAATTGAGCGAATGAAGAACTATAAACCTCCACATCAATCGTCGGATATCCTTGAAATTGATTGAGATTAATTAGCATTATGGTGTTTTTTTTTGTCCTACTCTTGCGACATGTATTTTGTATGACCTTTGTTTTTTTTTTCCTAATTATTTAGGCGTTTTATGAAAGTAAGTTCCTTGATTTCGTCTCTAATATCTCCTATTAGCTCATGTATAATTTGATCCATTACAAACTTGATTATGAACACAAACATTAGAGACAAACGCAGGAACAAAAAATGATCATAAGTAGAAGTGAATCTATTGTTCAAAACTAAACCACAAACTTAACTAATACTGAATCCATAAATCAAAACACAAAAACAAAAATATAAGTATAAGTGAATGTAATACTCAAAAAAGCAAAACGAAAATTATTAGAATAAAATCAAAAACTAAGAACTGAACCCCGCAACCTCCCATGGTAGTGAATCGGAAAAACATGAAGCTGCTCATAATTTGAAGTTGCTTTCTAATCCTGTAAATTAAAAACAAAACCGTTAGCAAAAGACAATTTTTAAAGTCTCTATTTAAGATTACAACCAGTAGTTAGACAAACCTTAATCATATAGCTATGTCACATGTTGTTCGATTATGGCCTTCTTTTCCACAACGACTACACCTATGTCTCTTTGACAATTGTGATTGTTGTGACGCTTTTATCTTGTCTTCAGCCGTTTCATATCTTCGTTTTCTTCGTCGACCAGGTTGTCTTCTTGTTTCAGGTGGTAACACAATTGCAGCTGCAACCTCCTCTGGGACACGCCATTCTTCTTCGGGAACACCAATTGGATTAATAGTTTCCTCATATAACGATCTCCAAGTGGCAGTGGTATACACATCATCAGCATATGGGTATATACACTTGCCTATCGCATAAGCTCCTTTTATAGCGTGTCTACAAGGAAGTTTCCCTATCTCAAACTTCCCACATGAACATGTTCTTCTTTCCAAGTCAACGACGAAGTCGAATCCGTTTGCTTTAACATGTAATCTGTTACTAGTAATCGGATAAACTTTAAAAAATTTACCTTTCTCTATTCTTCTAGAAATCTTTTTCTCCACCTCAATAGTCAACGGATCTTTTTGCTTTGCACTTAATACTCTTCGCTCATAAAACCAACGTGTCAACATCTCCCTAATGCTGTCTAACAAAGGAATTATCGGATACTCTCTAGGTGATCTCAAAGCAGAATTGATTGATTCTGCAGGGTTGTTGGTGTTAATGTCGTATCTAAATCCCGGAAAGTGGCAGCGAGCCCATTTTTCAACATTAGCATCGTCTAAGTATGCACCAATCGCTGGACTGATGTTGCAAATATCCTCGAACAACTTCTCAAACTGAGTAACTCTATAGGATTTAGACGCTTTTGCAACCATACCAGCCACACCCCTTCCACTGTGATATGTAATAACATTACCGATCAAGTGGTGGATGCAAATACCATGGGAAGCTAACGGATAGATTTTTTCAAGCGATTTACTGATCGACAAATGCCTATCTGACACAAAAGCTAAACCTTGATCATCCGCTATGAGTGTCTTAAGTTGCAAGAAAAACCACTCCCATGATGCATCATTCTCAGAACGAGCAACGCCAAATGCGATTGGATACAAATTAGAGTTACCATCTACGGCTGTAGCAACCAGAAGAACTCCTTTGTATTTACTCTTCAAAAATGTACCGTCAACAACAATCACTTTCCGAATTGACTTGTAAAACCCTCTAATTGACTGACCAAAAGATATGAATAGATATTGGAATCTACCATCACAATCAACTTCATAATTTGTATACGTACCGGGATTAGCTGCTTGTAGCATGTACAAGTATTTTGGTATCTTACCATAACTTTTCTCAGGAATTCCTCTGACTTCATTAACTGCATACTCACGAGACTCCCACGCCTGCGAATAATTAAGCTCGTGTCCATACTGTGACCGAATAAGATTGATGATATCATTCGGTTTAGGTCCTTCCAACACACCTTCATAATTATGCATAATGATATGTCCAATCGTTTTTGCTGAAGGTGTTCGACAGAATTTACTTTTCTTGGAAGGAGCACATGTATGGTTACCCACGTACTTGTTGATTTTTAAATACGAAGACCGCTCTAAACACTCAGCTCGAAGTCGCCACTTGCAGCCAACATCTATGCATCGTATACACCACAGTTTTGTATCAGACTTTGTAATCCTGTAGTCACAGTTATACTTCATCGCATACAATTCCATGGTTGACTGTAACAATTCTTTGCTTCTGAAATACTGACCCTGGCTCACACAAGAATACTGTGACGACGATCCGATTCCATGGCCAACAATAGCATTTTTTGGAGTTTTGAAACTATCGGCATTCTTTCTAGTTTCTTTCACACCCCATGATGACAAAATATTGTCGACATTAACATCATCATCTCCATCGTCGACATTAACATCATCATCTCCATCGTCGACACTAACATCATCATCTCCATTACTTGCAGCGTCGGGTTCCTTATTCTTTATCTCCACCATTGAACGTCACACATAACTTGATCGTATTTTTCCTTTTACAGTACGAAAGGAAATTACTAACCTGTCTGTTATTCATCATTACAACAGGAGGACAATCCAAGCTAAGATCCGTGGGTAAGTAACTTAACTCCACATCAACTGTACTCTGTTCTATTCCATAGTCTTCTGCAACAATCGCTTGTAACTCTTCAAAAGTTGTAGTCGTTTCCAAACTCAACAATCTCCCACGATTTTTTTCATCAATAATAAATCTCCACTCTTTCTTGTTATACAATCTCCACACACCACTCCTTACGTAGATGTGCATCGAGAAATCGTTGATCAAAAACGGGAAAATTTGAAGGAAAACGTGTTCTTAGCTTTTTAGAAACGAAAGTGGTGGACTAAGACGTGTAGGATTAAGACGTATAGCTTTTTAGGGTTTAAAAAACGTTTTAGGTTTTAATCTTAGTCTAAAAACCGTAGACAACAACTTCTACATCTTGTAGATCGTAATCTAAACAATAAATAATCATTTAAATCGTAATCTAAAAAAATATTTTGTTTCCTTTTCTGAATATTTACTTTCTATATTTAGAGCATTCTAAAAATTACAGAAATCGAAATCTACAATACCGTAGAATTTACATTCTAAACGTAGATTACAATTTCTAACGATGGCAGAAGATGTAGAAATTATTAGAACGTCTATTCTAAAACATTTAGAATATAGAGAAAAACGTAGAATGCATGTTCTAAATATTTTAGATTATTGATTTTCGGATTTCTAAAATTCTCAGAACAGAAATCTAATCTGAAATATGTAGAACATGTACAAAAATGCAGAATACACATTCTGAGTTTCGCAGAACGCTAGAAAACGTATTCTACCAAAATTAGATGAAACTTTATCTATCAAAAAATCAACTTTTTTTAAACCAATTCTAAAAAATTATACTTCAAATCACCTCTACTCTTGTATATCTACCTGTTTTTATGGTTATTTTTTTTAAAAAACAATTAAATTAGGGTGTAGGGGTAAAATCGTCCAAACTGACAATCTCACAAAAAAGGTGTATATGGACAAATTTTTAAGTAGATATCCTTTATTTCCAATTTTCCCATAAATTAAATCATTTTATGGAGTTGTCTAAATTTCAGAGGTTGAATGCTATAGAGTAGCCATCATGTATTATAGTCTTTGTTTATATTTTATCTATGCCTCTTCTACACTCATTCCTCTTGATTTTTTCGTTCTCTTCAATTCGTCATGTTTTAACAACTATTTGTCACATGCAACTTTTTAATTCTTTTTAAGCTCTTAAAACTTTGTTATAGAACTTTCTTCTTATTTGCTCAAAATAAAGGACAATGAACGGCTTTAAGGTTTTTTTATGAACAATTTCAAGATCATTTTCAAAGATGGAGTAGATGCATAATTTTTTGTGGAAAGTTTTAGTTTACTATTTGTTAAATTGCTAAACATAAATGATCTGCATTGTAATCTTGTCATGTAGACATATGATCTAATAGAAGCACATAAAGAAGATCTCCTCTTGTTATATAATTAGACAATTTCCTCACCTGATATAGATTGCTTTTGTTTTTACATTTAACTTACAATAAAAAAAACATTTGCTTTTTTTTTGGATTTTTATCTTGGGTGAATTAGCTCAGTGGCCATATTTAGACCAAAAATAAAGAATTTAGCCATCTGATTTAAGTAATTCAGTAAGTAACTAAAAACCCTAAATAACTACAAGTTTAGCCCTGCATTATTTCTCTATTTTTTCAATTGCCACAACTCTAAAACACAGCTTTTTTGTCATCGGAGCTACAGTCTTTTGCCATTACCGGCGGCAACGTTGCAGAGAAACCGACAAAATATCTGAGCGTTGAGCATGTTTGCGTATAGAAGTTTCGATTCGTGGTCGAATGAGCCTGGATTAGATCTAAAGAGAACGAAATCAAAAATTTTGATTGAATACCCTAAGACGGAAGAATGAAGTCGGAGAGGATTCCTGAAGAATACGACGTCGAGATCTGGATTCGACGGTGGAGAAAGGAAGAGACGAGGGTGGTGTGAGGAGATTACATAGCCGGGATTAGAAACTGATGAGGACCGTGTAAGGGGGGGGTATAAATGTGTATATTACATAATATATACAGAATATCGTTGCCTCTTTTTTTTATGGTTACTTACTTAATTTGTTGTTTTTTGTGGTTATTTACTCCAATTTTCCTTTTATCTTTCCTCCTAGGTATATGTTTTCCTTTTTTATACCTCATGTTTAGTAGAAACATAATAGAAAAATTAGGAATTATAAAATATAGTATTCGAAACATTAAAAATAAAATTTAACCACCCAACTAGCGGGCCTCTCCCTAGTTTTCTATATCGTAGAAGAAATTTCCTTTTGGTAGTTTAGATATTAAGGAATAATAGATAATAAAAAATAGAGTAATTGATAGATAATATCTTTTATTAAGTACGTTGACTCATACATTGTGAATTAGCATAAGAGGAACGATATTATCATAGTCCTTTTTTGTACGGGGCTCCACTTGCTTTCAGCCACGATTTTCCATCTAATAGCTTGCTAACAGTTAATTTTGCGGCCTCGTTAGGATCCGTAAGAACTCTAAACCCTCTCCACTTTACCCTTTTGCTAGTCACAGCTCCTGGACCCATGTTTTGATATTCGCCGTAGTAGAGAGTTGATAGACCAGTTGTTCCTTCCCAAGGAGTCCAGCCTGCGGGATCAACTAAATCACCGATAAAAGATTGTAGAATCACAACTGTTGAATACTTCTTCCATGGACGACCAAAAAACGTCTTCACAGTTGCTTTAACCAGATCTAGATCAGGACTTGTAGTGATATTGCATTTTTGAATGGAGAAGCCCGAGTTGTCGTCCTCACTTTCGCGTGACTGAGCGGTTATCACATTGCTCTGCCCCTTCCTCGGTTGTCTTGCTACAATTTGGCAGAATTGGAAGACGGCCGCGGCGTTTCCACAGATAAAATCTACAGTGCCGGTAATAAAGAACTCCCTATAAAATTGGCGGTGTCTGTGAGGATACAACGTATCCTGATACCCCTCGATACGGCATCGGTAAATAACGGATATATCACCACTCACACGGAGGGCAACAGCTTGTCCCTTTGCCGGTCCGGCCGTGTTCCGGAAGCACATGTCTATTCCGATGAAGCCATCACCATTAGAAGCTGCAATTGTATGTTTGGTATAATTATGGTTGTTAAGAATGTAATAGTTTGGTATAAAGAATAGAAAACTATAAACTATTCAAGAAGAGAACACAAATTCTTACCAACAGTTGCGGTTTGGAACGTTGATTTACCATCGTTACAGCTTAAATTGCCCGTGATGATGGTTGAATCTTGACCATCACCGATGAGAGTTAAATTGGTTTTCATACTCCCAATGCGGACGATTTCATCATAGACGCCTGTCTTTATATAAATGACGAATCTCTTTCTACCGTGTTCAGGTGCCGCTGCAATGGCCGCATTCACTGTGTTGTAATTTCCGCTCCCATCTTTTGCGACCACAAAATCGGCAATCTTCTTTAGAACCTGATTTTTAAGAAACGGAAGAAATTATATTAGCAATAGATAAAAAAAAAAGGATAAATGTTTTTCACGATTGTTGACATCGGAAAAAGAGAATTGTTTCTCCATTATTGCTCGATTACTCTCCTTCCCGAGGAAGAAAGAAAAGAAACATTGGGTTTTAGGCCTTAGATTTACGGGCTGTTATTTCATGGGTCTATGTTGGTTTTTGAGTTTTTTTTTGTTTTTCTTAATTATAGTGAGCCTTTTGTAATAATGATGCCTGTTGTAAACTGTGTTGTTCTATTGATTAATGAATGAGATTTCGATACATATATATACATGATGAGAGGAGACAAATCCCCATTGGGCTAGTAAACCCTAAAGCCCAAAAGCCCACTAAGTACAATATAGGCCGTCATAAGGAGAATCTTCCGTCATAAGGAGAATCTTCAAGAACATGGACATGGGCCTTCTAGAATATGCATAAGGTCCACGGTTATGGAGTCCATCCAACATGTGGTTTATAACACTCCCCCTTGGATGACATAACCGTGTAGATGCCAAAGGATCTCAGTAATACGCTTGGGGATGCTGCCTTATTAAAACCTTACCAGGAAAACCCATTGGGACAAAACCATGGTTAAGGAAAAAGAGTACAGCACGTATTACTCCCCCTGTTTTGGTCATCCCTGCAAGTCCTTAAGTCTCCGCATTCCAATTTGATGCGTGAGCTTCCTCAATGTCGATGTTGGTAATGCCTTGGTAAAGAGATCGGCTGAGTTGTCGCTGGATCGAACTTGTACCACTCGAACTTCTCCATCCCTTTGCAAGTCATGCGTGAAGAAGAACTTTGTTAGAATGTGCTTCGTCCGATCTCCCTTGATGTAGCCGTCCTTGAGCTGAGCGATACAGGCGTGTTGTCTCCTCATATGATGGTCTTTGATGTTGTAGTAGCTGCGCCTTGAAGAAGGCTGCCTACGTACCCTTGGAAGGGATCAAGCCACACGTAGTTCCTATCTATTGACCATGCCATAATCTGATTTTACCTGCATCAGCAAAACAAACTAAACCAAAGCAAACTAGACCTTCTTTGGTTAAATCAGTATAGAATAAAACCCAAATAAACAAACATAGGAAGAATAGAATTTAAAATTTAACCAAACCTTCCTTCAAACCTTTCTAGTGCCTTTGGGTTGATCATGAACTAAATTTAGGCAAAGGAGGTTCACGGCAAAACATATGTCTGGTCTAGTGTGGCTAGCCAAGTACATTAACGCTCCTATGGCACTAAGGTATGGCACTTCTGGATCGAGAACTTCTTCCTCATCCTTTTTTGGACCGAATGGATCACTATCCAATCCGAGGCTTCTCACCACCATTGGGCTGCTCAATGGGTGGGCCTGGTCCATATTGAATCTCTTGAGTACTTTTTCAGTATATGCCTTTTGATGCACAAGGATTCCATTATTCACGTACTCAAGTTGCAATCCCAAACAGAATTTTGTCTTGCCTAGGTCTTTCATCTCGAATTCTTTCTTTAGATATTTGACTGTTTGGGCGATTTCCCCAGAGGTTCCAAGGATGTTCAAATCATCCACATATACTGCTATTATCACAAACCCTTCGTTTGCAAATTTCTTTATGAAGATACATGGACTGATGGGATCATTCTTATAACCTTCTCTGACTAGGTACTCGCTTAATCTATTGTACCACATGCGTCCACTTTGTTTCAGTCCATAAAGTGATTTGTTCAGCCTTATGCAGTATTGGTCTCGAGACCCTTTCTTATCTTTATCTTTGAGCTCAATACCCTCTGGTAATCTCATATATATCATCCAGTGGACTTATATAAATATGCAGGCATTACATCCATTAGCCGCAAATCAAGTCTTTTTCTTTATATAGCCAGACTTAGCAAAATTTAAATGTCTTAGCATCCACCACAGGGGAGTATGTTTCTTCATAATCTATCCCCGGTCTTTGTGAGAATCCTTGTGCTACAAGCCGTGCCTTATATCTCACGATTTCATTATTCTCATTTCTCTTCTTCACAAAGACCCATTTGTGTCCTACTGGTTTTTACATCGAATGGTGTCCTTAAGGTCGGACCAAACTCATTCCTTTTCTTAATGATTCTTAGCTCCACGTTTTATGGTCTTGTACCATTTAATCAATCAAGTCTTTGAGTGCACTCTAGTATAGACGTGGGCTCCTGATCCTCATTTATATTCATAAATTCAAGTGCTACCTTGCATGCAAAATCATCTTATGTCGACATTTCTTATATGTTCCATTATGTTCCAGACATGATATAATCGATTTGAGATTTATTATGGTCAGGACCTTTAATACTTTGCAGCTTGGCGTCCCAAGCTACATTATATGGTACCTGTACCTTAGAGCCGGCCGGCCTTATCTCCATGTCTGGGATGGTTTCCTTAGTAACCTCGGATTCCTATTGCACCTTTCTTTAATTTCCGAGGGTTTTTATCATTGGAACTTATTGGTCTACCACGTTTCTTTCGTGTGTTAGACTCGGTAGCAATTTCATTGATTCCCTTTTGGATATCAATACGTACTGGTGCATTACAAGCTGGTATGTACGTTTTTGTAATTTTCTTTGGGTCAGCAAAGGAATCTGGCAATTGATTAGCTAGCTTTTCAAATGTATAATCTTATGGACCTCTGATTCTCATGCCAGAGTCCGAGGATCTTGCCAATTTAAGGATGTTTGATTCCATTATATTTCTTTTATTGCTTTACCCAGCTTGTTCGTCTCTCCACCTATAGTAGGAAATTCGGATTCATTCAAATGACAATCCGCGTATCTAGCCTTAAATAGATCACCCGTAGTTGGCTCTAGATACTTAATAATGGTGGGAGAATCAAATCCAACATATATTCCCATCCTCCTTTGAGGTCCCATCTTTGTTTCTATGTGGTGGAGCAATCGGTACATATATGGCACACCCGAAAGTCTTTAGATGGGATATGTCTGGCTCATGACCCATAAGTAATTGGGATGGTGAATATCTATGTTCACTAGATGGCCTTATGCGTATAAGTTCTGATGCATGTAAAACAGCGTGTCCCCAAGCGGCTACTGGGAGCTTCGACCTCATGAGTAATGGTCGAGCTATCAATTGAATTCGTTTAATGAAGGATTCCGCTAATCCATTCTGTGTATGTACATGTGCTACGGGATGTTCCACACTTACCCCCATGGACATACAGTAGTCATTAAACGCTTGGGACGTGAATTCACCGGCATTGTCTAGACGTATAGTCTTAAGCGGAAAATCTGGAAAGTGGGCTCGCAGTCTTATTATCTGGGCCAATAACCTAGCAAACACTTGGTTTCTAGTAGATAGGAGACAAACATGCGACCATCTTGTCGATGCATCAATGAGGACCATACATATATCTCCTTGTATCCTTTCCAGAAATTTTAAGGTCTCTTTATTTACCTTAGCCGGTGATGGCCTTATAATGAGTTTCCCTTGTGAACATGCTTCACACGTGAGATTCTTAGGGATAACTCTTTTCTCTCTTAGGGTGTGCCCCTTTGAATTAGTTATTAGTTTACGCATCATACTATGACCCGGATGGCCAAGCCGGTCATGCCATAAAGTGAATTTCTCGATGAACTCTTTGTTCATTGCCATATTAGCTTCGATCATATCGATTTTAGCATAGTAGAGACCAGTGGATAATGCGGGTATAGTCTCTTAGGACTTTCTTATGTCCTTGGATGATCTCAATTATATTTAGGAATTCTTTGTTCCCTTCACCCTTTGTTTCAATATGGAAACCATTCAATCTTATATTTTTGAAACTTGACAAGCTCCTCTTCGAGCTGGGTGAATATAGGGCATCGCTTATTTCAAGATGCGTGCCCTTTGATAAAAGTATATGGGCATGACCATGGCCCTCAATAAGACTAGCTATACCCGCTATGGTGCTAATATTGGCATTTTTCATTATGAGATTTAGGAAAATATCTCTTATCTTTTGTGTGGCTCCACTATCCACCACAATTATGTTCTTGTCCTCGGCCATTTCTTATATGGACAAGAATCATGTTCTAAACATAAAATAATATAAAATAAATTCAAGCAAATAACAATCAATGAACACATAAAATGCAAAGAAAAACATAGAGGTTTTGATGTCGAAGTAAGATTTATCAACTTGATTCTTTTATGCAATCAGAAGTTTCATACTCTATTAGATCATCTTGATCATGTTCACCATCTTTATATACCAAATGGGCTTTAGAATTCTTCCCTTTTACACTCTCTTGATAGAGGTCACAACGGTGTTTGGAAGTCCTACATATCTTAGCCCAATGGTTTCCCATTCCATATCTATGGTATACTCATTTGGTCGAGTGTTGTGGTTTGGAAATACCACATCGTCCTCGCCCTCGACCACGGCCGGAATTGGGTCTACATCCACGGTTATAGTGGTTCCCATGGCCGGATGAGTTATAGTGGCCACAACCACGTCCTTTCAATACCACATCTATGGCATACTCATTTGGTCGAGTGTTGTGGTTTGGAAATACCACATCGTCCTCGCCCTCGACCACGGCCGGAATTGGGTCTACATCCACGGTTATAGTGGTTCCCACGGCCGGATGAGTTATAGTGGCCACAACCACGTCCTTTCCATCCACCACGGTCACGGCCGTGTGGTCTATCACTTTAGACGTGGTTAGATTCTTTGGATTCTTTCTTATCCTCTGCGGCCTTATTGGCATTAGGTAATGGGGTTAATCTATGAGGTCGTAACTCACTGTTTTTATCTGTAAGTCATTATTTTTATTTTTTTTTTCATCTAGCAATAGACTCATCCACGGACTTATAGTCCTGGATTATGAGACTCTCAATAAGATGGTGGCTAATATTGCCTTGTATCTATCTTTCTCTCTTGGCATTCTTACCTTATTAGATACATTCACCAAGTCCTTTTGACTTTAGGATAATCTTAGTATCCATTGCCCATTTTAAAATAATTATCTCCTAAGAGATTTAGGGCAGTAAAGTACAAGTTGTAATTCAACATCTACAAGGAAAAGTTTTGAGTCAAAATCATGTAATCGTTAGTGTCATGCGGTATTTGAGACCGAACCATGAATCGATTTACTTAGGGATTTGACTTTCCTCTTTTGCTTATGATTAGATTTCCTCTTTTGATTAGGATTAACTTTTCCTTTTCCTTTTAGGATTTACTTTCCTCTTTACTTTAGGATTAATTTTCCTATTTCACTTATGATTTTAGATTTTAAGATTTCCTATTTTAATTAGGATTTGGAAATTTTCTATTTCTTAAAGTTTTCCTATCTTGAATAGGATTTATGAATTTCCTAATTTAATTAGGATTTAGAGTACAATAGGATTTAGGATTTTATTTAGGTTTTCATGCTTTCTATTAGGATTTTAAAGTTTCCTATTTTATTGAGGATTTTAAGATTCCCTATTTAGGATTTAGGGTTGTTAAGATTTCCTATTATCTAGGGTTTCCTATTTTATTTAGGATTTTAAGGTTTCCTAGATTTTAGGGTTTCCTATTTTATTTAGGATTTTAGGTTTTAGGGTTTTGAGATTTCTTTTAGGATTATCTTTTCTAAGTTTTCTAGGGTTCATGCAATTTTAGTTTTAGGGTGTTAAGCATGTAATCAATCAAAGGAGCAAACAATCTAACAACCTAAACAATCTCAATCAAGCCGATTTAAACTTATGGAATTTTTTGGATTAGATTCGTTTTAGGTTTTAGGTTTTTAGACCTTTAAAGTTTCGGTTATTAGCTTATGTATTTTCGTTTTGCGATTTTAGGTTTAGACAATTAAAACTTCTCTAGCAACTTAGGCGAGTTTAGCTTAAGCGATAATCAACTTTTTCTAGCAACCTAAACGAGTCAAACAATCGAGCAAACAAGCAATCGGATCAAACAAGCAATCAAATCATACAAGCAAAGCAATCACTTAATCAATCATCATTCGTTTTAGGGTTTCTCTTTGCTTAACTTTCAAGTTCAATTGTTGGTTCTTTAGCTTTAGGGTTTTGATGTTACCTTTCACCTTATGGGGTTGTATGGACTAGAACCGGGAGCTAAAGACCTCGGTAACTCACGCTGCTGCAACGAACCGCAAACAGTACCACGATGAACAGTACCGCGATGAACAGTACCGCGATGAACAGTACCGCGATGAACAGTGCCGCGATGAACAGTGTCGGCGATGAACAGTGTCGACGATGAACAGTACGGCGATGAACAGTACCGAGATGAACAGTGTCGGTGATGAACAGTGCCGCGATTTTTAGGGTTAGGGTTTTAGGGTTTTCGTTAAGAGCAAGTCGTGCTGATAACGTGTTGTAAACTGTGTTGTTCTATTGATTAATGAATGAAATTTCGATACATATATATACATGATGAGAGGAGACAAATCCCCATTGGGCTAGTAAACCCTAAAGCCCAAAAGCCCACTAAGTACAATATAGGCCGTCATAAGGAGAATCTTCAAGAACATGGGCATGGGCCTTCTAGGACATGGACATGGGCCTTCTAGAATATGCATAAGGTCCACGGTTATGGAGTCCATCCAACATGTGGTTTATAACAATGCCCACATATAAACGTTTTTATCAGAAACATTGGGCTTTAGATTTATGGGCTATTATTTTATGGGCCCGTCTTGGTTTTTGGGGTTTTTGTTAAGTTTTTACATAGTTATATAGGCCTTTTGTGATTATGATACCCAAGTAAGAATATTTCTATAAGAAAATTTAATGCAATATATTTACAAGAATTTTTTTCTTAAAATTTTTAAGTGAAAAATGAGCCAGCTTTATAAGAACAAACATGTAAAATAAAAATAAAACATTGGGCTTTAGATTTCTAGGATGTTATTTAATGGGCTCATATTGGTCTTTGGAGTTCTTTTGGTTAAGGTTTTACATAACTATAGTGGGCATTTTGTGATCATGATGTCCAAGTATGAACGTTTATATCAAAAAGTTTAATGTAAAGTTTTTATCTGAATTTTTTTTTTAAAACAACCAAAAATAATACTACTTTTTTTTACTGAAAATAAACCAGCTTTATAAGAACAAACATCCAAAACTAAAATGAAAATAATTAACTTTTTTCATAATCAAATTAGTTTACTTAGGCTATTAATATCTATTATAAAATGTGTATATATATATATATATATAAATATACGGTTTTTAAACTATAACTTAAAAATATTAGGGTTCCTTTTTATTACCTCAGGATTAAGATATAGATATTTCTTGTCAACGTTGGATAACCAAGACGGGCCATTGGGAACCACCGACTTAAGTTCGGTGTCGTCTCTCGGAGAAGTGGAGATAAAAATTGCCAAAGCTACTCTTGCCTTAGAATAAAGGTCTTCAAGCTCTGGCTCGACCCGACGTTTATAGGCACCTTCACCAATTCCGTCGATACATGTGATGTAGCTAGTAAGAACGCCACTAAGCCAAGTGTGGATGTTTTCGTAAGATCCAAGATTAAGGCTTTCTCCTCCTAAGAGTTCTTCCACTGAACGGATCATCCTATCTTTTGCTGACTCCATCATCTCTTCAAATAGATTTGTGTCCTCCTTCACACCAAGCATATCATTCTCCATTTCCTCAAGTAGTTTTGTGTCTTCCATCACACCAATCATAGCCATGTCGATCCTCCACACGGAATTCTTCAAAATGATGATCAATAAGTCACAACATCTCATCTCCGAGAGTGACGAGGATACCCTCTTGAGCTCCAACAAAAGATTTTGACATGACTGTTTGTCGTCATATCCTTTGCAAACTCCGATCACCGTTGTTATGAACCCGTTGATGTTGTCATCTTCAAGGCGGACTAGATCGGAGTGGGCTTGTGAGAACATTATCATCACAACAAAAACAGCGGAAAGCTTCGTATGAACCAACATTTTTGAAGGGGTTTTTTTTTTCCTTCACTCTTTAGTGAATTTAGATCATGGCAACTAAGAAAAGAAGAGTTATGGTGGTCCTTTTAAACAAACAAAACAACTTAATTAATTTAAATAATTGTATTTGTAATTTTTAAGTTATAAAATAAATGATAACCTTTATTAATTTAAATGATTTTATGCCATTTACTGATTGTTGCAAATACGGTAATATCTTCATCAACTAATGCTCTCACCAATTGTTCTTTAGTTTTAGTATGATTTCACTTTAGTTACTATTTATCCAAATTTAAAAAATTCAGAAAAAGACAAACATGTGGACATAAACTAAACTAAATGTTCATATATATAAGTATAATTGACAAATGAATAATTATTAAATTAGACGAAACAATATTATACCACAACACTTTTATAACCTGCATGCATGCATGAATTAATATATAAATATATGGTACTGAAATTTTCAATAACTATTGATGTACCAAGCTTTCTAGTATACCAACAACGTACGTTTGTAACCCTTCTCAATTTTGATAAAGCTTGATCTTCTTTTTCTCTTTCCCTTATTTATTTATTTACTTTCAATTAAAATTTATTTGGTATATAGAATTAAGGTCATTTTCACAGCAGAACATTAATTGATTTTCTTTGGTCGTTTGTAATTATAATGTGGTCCCAATCACTAGCATTAGTTATCTTTTCCTCATTGATCATCACAAATCCATTGTTCTAAACTTATAGTACACAAACTAATTAACCTTCACTTATACTAATACATGTAATCGATAAACAAACAATAGTTAGAAAAAACTTAATTTTGAGATCAATCTAAACAGTTCAATGCAATGTGAATTGAAGCTATGATTCCGTGAAGTTAGGTTTAATTATCCACAAAGAATTCTTAATTGGATTGTATTCATTTCAAGAGCATTACATTTGAATGGTTGTTATGGTCATCTTTTCCAATAAATTAATGAAAATTTCTTAAAAGTTCAAAGAAACAATTATGTATGTGCAAGTGAAATAAATTATTAACTAAAACAAACCGGTAGATGAATGTAACAGTGTATCTAATTATATCATAATAATAATATATGTATCTTTTTTTTATATCTTTTCTTGTTTATAGATAGCTTTTGTTTGTACCTTTATCAAAATAGTATAAAGACCAAAGTTATATCTAAAATAAAAAATAGATAGCTTTTAGGGTATGATTGGTGGGAAGCGAGAATAAAAAAAATAGAAAAGAGATACTAAAAAAGTTAGAAAACAATATAAAAGTTGTTGAAATTTTCCAACTAATAAAAGATAGATAGAAGGATTTTCTTACTTTAACCTTTTTTAGGGTAATATAGCTCAAATGTATATTTCTATTTTACTCTAAATAGCTAAAGTAAATATGAATTTGGTAGAATATTATTTTCATCCATTTTAGTTTATGCTAACAACAAGACAATACAGTCGTAACCAATCTCTGGCATGTGAGGACTAGACCTAACTAATTATTGTATTATTATTCTAGTACTAAAGAAGACAAAATAGTCATAATAAATAGAAGACCCCTAGTTTTTTTTTTTGGCTTTAGAACATTAATTCTATATGCTTATATGCCAATTATTCCGGTTGACTAAAATATAGAAAATTGATTCCATCTAGAGAAGTCAAGCCAATCATTTATAGAAGATTCATTTTCCATAGGGATTTGTAAAATCAAAAATATACAAATAATTGGGCCACCTGGCCCTTTGAATAGTATTTAAGGCTTTGCTTTAGCTCGTAAATAATACGTACATAAAATTAAATTGACTGCGGAAGACATTAGTTTTAGGTGTTTATATTAGTTTTAGATCATGGCAACTAAGGATAGAGGAGCTATGATGGTCCTTTTAAACAAAAAAAACAACTTAATTAATTTAAATGATTGTATTTGTAGTTTTAGAGTATATCAAATAAATGATAACCTTTATTAATTTTAATGATTTTATGTCATTTACTGATTGACGCAAATACATTAATATGTTCATCAACCAATGCTCTCACCAATTGTCTTTTAGTGTTAGTTTGAGTTCATCCCAATTTGTTTTGTAGGTAAACCAATAAATCTTTGTTATGATTTCACTTTAGGTACTATTTATCCAAACTTTAAAAATTAATAAAAAGACAAACATGTGAACATAATGTTCATATATATAAGTATAATTAACAAATGAATAATTATTTAATTAGGCGAAACAATATTATACCACAACACTTCTATAACCTGCATGCATGCATGAATTAAAAAAATATATATGGTATTCAAATAATTTTCTATGACTATTGATGTATCAAGCTTTCTAGTATACCAACAACGTACGTATGTAAGTATGTAACCCTTCTCAATTCTGATAAAACTTGATCTTCTTTTTCTCTTTCCCTTATTTATTTATTTACTTTCAATTAAAATTTATTTGGTATATAGAATTAAGGTCATTTTCACAGCACAATATTAATTGATTTTGTTTGGTTTGTTTGTAATTATAATGTGGTCCCAATCACTAGCATTAGTTGTCTTTTCCTCATTGATCATCACAAATCCATTGTTCTAAACTTATAATACACAAACTAATTAACCTTCACTTATACTAATACATGTAATCGATAAACAACAATAGTTGAAAAAACTTAATTTTGAGATCAATCTAAACAGTTCAATGCAATGTGAAGTGAAGCTATGATTCCGTGAAGTTAGTTTTAATTATTCACAAAGAAAAATTCTTAATTGGGTTGTATTTGTTTCAAGAACATTACATTTGAAAGTTTGTTATGGTCATCTTTTCACATAAATTAATGAAAATTTCTTAATAGTTCAAAGAAACAATTATGTATGTGCAAGCGAAATAAATATATTAACTAAAACAAACTGGTAGATGAATGTAGCTCTGTACCTAATTTATCATAATAATAATAATATATGTATCTTTTTTTATATCTTTTCTTGTTTATAGATAGCTTTTGTTTGCACTTTTATGAAAATAGTATAAAGACCAAAGTTATATTTAAAATATGGTCTAACTAGATCCATAGGGGTGGAGAGAGAGAAGTAGATTTTGACAACAAAAAAATATTATTTGAATTTTTCCAATACAATAAAGATCAAAATAATTAAAAAGAAAAAAATTATTTGATCCTTGCAAATGAAAATTTGCACTAGTAAGTAGTGTACTTTGAATTTTTTAAAACTATCCTTTTGAAAACTAATTATCTTTTTCAATTGTTAGAAATAAACTCATTAAATCCAAGAAAAATCGTTTTTGTAATTTTTGAATTGTTCAATAAGAATCCAAATTTTAGGAGTTAAATCAATATTGAATCACTTTTAGGGTATGATTGGTGGGAAGTGAGGATAAAAAAATAGAAAATGAGATACAAAAAATATTAGAGCAAAAAAAATAGAAAAGTGGTTGAAATTTTCCAGCTAATAAAAGATAGAAGAATTGTCTTACTTTTACTCTTTTTTGCGTAATATAGCTGAAATGTATATTTCAATTTTACTCTAAATAGCTAAAGAAAATATGAATTTGGTAGAAAATTATTTTCATCCATTTTAGTTTATGCTAACAACAAGACAATACAGTCGCAACCTTAATCTCTGGCATGTGAGGACCAGATCTATCCATTAGTAGTCTAGTACTAAAGAAGACAAAATAGTCATAATAAATAGAAGACCCTTAGTTTTTTTTTTTTTGGGCTTTAGAAAACATTAATTATATATGCTTATCTGCCAATTATTCCGTTTGACTAAAATATAGTGGTTTATGCAGCACCAACTGCAACCCGTCGGAGTGGTTTATGGGGGGGAGCTGCGGGATGTTATTGGAGGAATTGAGGGGCCATTGGTCATTGGCGGCGATTTTAATACTATTCTGAGGTTGGATGAGAGGACTGGCGGTAATGGTAGGCTCTCAGCAGATTCTCTAGCTTTCGGGCAGTGGATTAATGAGTTAGCACTAATCGATTTGGGCTTCAGAGGGAATAAGTTCACCTGACGTAGAGGGCAGGTGGAGAGGACGTTTGTAGCCAAGCGGTTGGATCGAGTGCTAGTTAATGCTCAGGCTAGATTGAAATGGCAAGAGGCAGTGGTGACGCATCTTCCGTTATTAGCTTCGGATCATGCTCCGTTATATGTGCAGCTGTGCCCAAAACAAGACATGGATCCGAAGCGGAGACCGTTTCGTTTTGAAGCAGCCTGGTTAAGCCATGATAGCTTTAAGGAGTTATTGTTGGCGTCATGGGACTCAGGTATGTCAACGCCCATGGCTTTAGAGAGTTTGAAATGGAAACTGAAGAAGTGGAATAGAGATGTTTTTGGAGATGTTAAAAAGAGGAAAGAGGAGTTGGTGAAGGAGATCAAAGAGGTACAGGAGATCCTGGAGGTTCATCAATCTGATGCGTTACTAGCGAAGGAGGAGGAGCTGTTGCGCAGTTTTGAGAATCTTCTGGAGCAAGAGGAGACTATTTGGTTTCAGAAGTCGAGAGAAAAGTTTATTGCCTTGGGAGATAGGAATACCACTTTTTTCCACACATCAACGGTTATACGTAGGAGGCGGAACCGGATTGAGATGTTGAAAAATGCCGAGGATGTATGGATTTCTGATAAGACAGAGTTGGAGAAGTTGGCACTTGATTATTATAGGAGACTATACTCGTTGGAGGATGTCGGGGAGACGAGTGTGTTTCTTCCAATAGAGGGGTTTGTCGGGCTGACCAGTACGGAGAGGGCTGATTTGGAGAGGAGATTTACGGTGGAGGAAGTGTTAACAACAGTGAAGAGTATGGGGCGGTATAAAGCACCGGGACCGGATGGTTATCAACCTGTGTTTTATCAGGAGTGCTGGGAGGTGGTAGGCAGCTCGGTATCACGGTTTGTATTGAAGTTTTTTGAGATGGGAGTGCTGCCACAATCGACTAATGATGCTTTGTTGGTATTATTACCAAAGGTGC